TCAATATATTTATCAAGTGCTCCCTATTGAGATTGAATTAATTATTCTACTTTCGGCTTCTTTTTTCTCTTTTCATTTCCAGAACTATACTTATTAGGAAACTTGACTACAATCACAATTCGATCTACAAATCACAATCTACTGATTATTTCATATCTGATAGTAAATAAAATATAAAAAATAATTTAATGAAACAAAATTAGGACAAAAAATTAGGGGAAAATTATTTATTTCAATAAAATCTGATAAATAAAGAAGGTAAAAAAAAATAGGACAAGTTTATTATTCCACTAAGATCTGATAAAGAAAGAAGGTAGAAAAAAATTAGGATAAATTTATTTATTTCATTAAAATCTGATAGTAAAAGAGAGATAAAGAGAGAGAGAGAGAGAGAGAATGGCTTACTAAGAGAGAGAGAGAGTGAGTCGCCACCGTTGATAATTATAATCAATTTATGCGGCTACTCAGTGCTCTTGCTTATGCTTTGTATGCTTTCTTTCCTTTGTCACTTTGTGAGAGAGAGAGAGAGAGAGATTGAGAGCTTGTATGTATTATTCTTCTTCCTGGGTCATCAACACTTTCTGTAGATATTTTAATTTTAATTAGGCCAAATCATACTTATAAATAAATATGATCCAATAAAATATTTTTGGGCCCTTTGAATTGGTCCTATAATAACAAAAATAATTTGAGCCAATTTAAATTTATAATATATTATAATACTTTACTAAATTTGGAACCCTTGTTTTTGGCTAAATTTTTGGAACATAAAGCACAGGCCTCAGTCACCTTAGCCTAAGACCGGTACTGATGCTATCATTATCAAACTAAGGTATTGGGGATTGAACTTAAGAGTGATTGTTTTTTTTTTTTTAGGGCTAGTAAGGAATTCGTAGAATTCGTAATCCGATCTGGTCCAGTCCAATCTGGTAGGTTTGAATTGATTTTTTGAATCTATGATTCGGTTCCGGATTGAAAAATTAAAAATCCATAGTCCATGGATCGGTTCCGGATTGAACCCCACGGTTCCGGATTGGAACCGATCTGAACCATATACAAATAGTTTATATTTATATTATACATCCTCTCGTATAATATCTTTTCTTATTCCATATAAAACTTAAACGCAAACCTAAACCCGTATAGTATCTTCTTTTATTACTTTTGTTTGTTGGTTTTTAGTTTTAATTTGTAATGGTTTAAATACTTATGGTATAACTAATTTTCTTATATTTTTAAAATTTTAGAACAGTATGTCGCTATTATGGAAAGACATATTATTATTGTAGAATTAATATGATGCTATGTTTTATGTTTTTATGAAATTAAAATGTTCTATATTTCTTTTTTTTGTTATATAATTATGTGAATCTGTGGTCCTAAACTAATCTACTCTGTGTTTAAATAGATTGGTTTGAATTGATTCCAAGATTTAAATAGTTTGGATTGGTTTCAATTTTTCTAAAAGTGTAGATGATAGATTGATTCTAATTTTATCCCAATTTAAACCAATCCGAACCATGTTCGCCCTTAATTTTTTTAATTGTCATGAGCTGACTTAAGAAGAATACAAAAAAGAATATAGTAATGGTGAAGAGGAAAAATGGACAAGATAATCATCATAAGGTGACTCGTAGAAGATAAAAAAATAAAATAACGTTTTGAAAAGTTGGTAAAAAATTAACTTTTGACTTTTTGAGTCAAAGAAATTAACTTTTTAAGTAATGACTTGAGTAAAAAAGTTAATTTTTTTAACTAAAAAAACTAAAAACTAACTTTTTTTAGAAGTTGCCAAAGCAAAGTAGAAGTTTCATTTGTTCTAAATTTATAAACATGTACTTCTTTTTCTTTTTTTTTTTAATATAAACACATAGTTGAAAAAAAAGAAAAAAATAGAAGAAGTTATAAATCACAGGTTCAATTGATGACAACCCTACACGTACATGTCCTTATTCTCATGATTAAGCAGAGGCAGTAGAAGCAACTGGTGATAATTTTTTCTTTAATTTTTGAAATAAATTACAAATACATCTTTTGAAATTTACTTAAATTATAAATTACTTTCTATAGTTCTAAAAATTACATTATATCCCTTAGGCTCCATTTATTTTCAGAGGTAGAATGGAAGAGATTCATAGTGAGGGGATTAAGTAAAATTGTGTTTGTTTTGATGATAGTTGTTAGTATATGAATTGTTAAATTATTTTTATATAAAATAATAAAATAAATAAAAAAATATAAAAAATTAAACATTAATATTTAAAAAAAATTCCCAATATAAAAAAATAAAAAAATTTCTAATCTCCTCACTATTTTTCTAATACCATCTCCACATCTTCCATCTCAATTCCCCTTTCAACCTCCATCTATATCACTTCTTCCATCCTAATCCCCTCTCCAACTCTACAAACAAACACAACACTAAATAACCCAACCTCCATCCTAGTCCTCTTCCATCTATTTAACCCCAAAACAAACGGGGCCTTAAGGTTTCTAATTTCATAACAAATAGGTCCTTTTATTAATAAATTATTAAGTTAATTAACAGTTTTTAATAATATTAAAATTTTATTTCAATTAATAATTCAGATAATTTTATTATTGTATAAATGAATAATTAGTTAATTAACAGTTTTTAATAATATTAAAATTTTATTTCAATTAATAATTCAGATAATTTTATTATTGTATAGATGAATAGTTAAAAATTTCACTTTTTCAATTAATTCTGTTAAATAAAAAATTCTGACAAGAAAATATTTGTAATTTTTCAAACCATAAGAAGCAATTCATATTTTAAGTAAAACACAAAGGTGTATTCCTAATTTTGTTCTAATTGTCTCTACAAAGGAAAATGAATTTGACTTGAGGTTGTCTTTGGATTTATGAATTGAAAAGAGATTTAATTTTCAATTATGTAAGGATTTTGCCTCAAAAGTTATATTTCATCTATCATGAGTTCGGATCCTTTTTAGTCATTTTTCCTACCACCATCTTCAAGTGGTTTCATATAGGACGATATAAAACACTACCATTAAAAAGACGTCTTTCAGTTAGAGTCCAAAGAGATAAACATGTGAGGTTAATCGTTGGTTTAGACTATAATGAATAATACTATCAAGTGGAAGTTGCACTGTATGTCTAATATGGTATCAAAACCAGGGTAGTCTGTGTTAAAGTGGAGACGTTGACATGTCACATCAATTGCTGACAATGTCTAAAATAAACTTACAAGAGGTGCACTCTTTACATTTGTAATTAATCTCTTGTTAATTGGAGGAAAAATGATGTGGAGGCATCGGCAAGGTGTTGCTTGTGTCATATTTTTTTTCTTTTGATCAAAAGAAATTTTCATTAAGACAAGCCAAACGACATATATAGAAGAGTCCATCAAATAGATAAAACTTATACCAAAAGAAGAAAAAAATCAGAGTAAGAAGCATAAACGAGTAAAACTATGAAAAATCCAGATGCACAACTTGTGCTTGTACGTTAAAAGCAAAAGTCGATCATAAAAGTTCAACAGTAGCACATATCTTAGATAAATCATATATTAAAACCACAGAGTAGGTGAGCTACACCACAATACCGATAGACTCTAAGAAACACAACTAAAAACCAAAATAAATAAGAAAAAACAAGAAAAACTCAACCTCAGTCCCAAGAAACAACCAGATCCGTAGAGGGGGGGCCAAATCCGTGGCAAATCCGGTGGTGGTACGATGGTGGTGGCTACGGCGAAAGGCAGAGAAGGTGGGATATGATAGATCCAGTGTCGGCGGGAAGGGAGGAGGACAAAATTAGCAAACCTTCCACCATGAGGGGGAAGAAGCACCTCACAAAGTGAGAGAGATTGGGAAAAAAGAGCTCCAAAGGCTTATTGTGCAGAAAAATGGAAGAAAACAAGGGAAGGGAGGGAGGGGGGGGGAGAATGAGAGAGGTGGCTAGAGGTCGGAACCCCCCTCCCCCCCGGGCTGCGCTCCCAAAATGAGACTCTACCCAAAATGGAACCCTAATGCTGTGTTTGGTTGGAGATTTGGGAAAGGATTTGGAAAAGGAAAGGGAAAAGGTATGTGAAACTATGTGAAATGTAGGTATATTTTTTTTACATTTCACTTACCTTTTTCATTTCTCTTTCCAAATCACTCCTCAAATCTCTCAATCAAACACAGTATAAAGGAGGAAGAGAGAGAATTTGCTTGCGTCATTTGAATTAATAGTATGGTTACATTCATTTCGTGGCACCATACTGGCAAAGAAAAGATGGGGATTTGTTTTTCTAGAGGAAAATTCTTTTCATAAAATTTTTATTTTTGTTTGTTCAAAATTTCCTTTATACTATTGTTTGACATGTAAAGTGAGATGCGTCAGAAACTACACCACCAGTAAAATGGTTTGCATTTTTAGTGAGTAGGAATAGGTAGTGAAAGCACTACTTTAGTTTTTTTTTTTTGTTGTTGTTTTTGCGTGAAAATCTCACCAAATTCACAATATTTTTTTTTTAATATATAAATTGTGATTGCATGACTTCAGATTTGAGTTCACATTTCGAGAGTCAAGATCAGTTTGATTTTGGGTTCGTTATTATTTTGAACCAAGTCGAACTATGTGTGCCCTTGCCCTTGGCTCTCCCTAAGGATGATCTTGGCCCAATCATTGTCTAGCTAAATTCAGTGACAACTTCAAAAAATTTGGAGGAAGCCATCAAAGGATTGGGCACCTTGGCAATACAAGGACATGAACATGTGAAGGGTCAGGCCACTGGACCAGAGTGGTGGCCTTCTGAGTGATTTATAGAACATCAACAGCAAAAGTGCAGATGCTTAGAACATGCCTCTGAAAGGTTAAGAACTTAAGAGCTTGCTAACCTAAGTAGAAAACAAAACGAGCGTCGTTCTGCAAAATTGATTATATTGTAATAATAGTACGTTCTGCAAAATTGATTATATTGTAATAATAGTACATTTTTTTACCGAAAGCACCAATTTTTCGCACCAAAAATATCATTCATAATTGGGGATGGGTGAGGTTGCAGATTATTTAAGAGCCGATTTTAATTTACATATTCACGTGGATTTCATCCTCAGCCTTCAGGAGACTCTAAAAAAAATTAGATAAGAGCAGTTTTAGCAACAGCGAGCGCTTCAATAGGCCTAAAACATGATGCACTATGTTCAACAAGTTTCTCAAGTTAGAACAGTAGATACATATCAATCATGGATCAGCACTACACTTGCTTAGCTCCTCAATCACTTCTTCCATAGCTGGCCTTTGTTCCGGAAGCTCATGGGTACAAGCCAGTGAGATTTTTGTTAGCTTAGTTGCCTCAGAGTCGAAGAAATTGCCCCTGAGATTTGGGTCAATAAGATCTTCCAATCTGCAAGATTCAGCTGCCAATCGTATCAGGTTGGTGAGTTTACTTTTACCAGAGAGGATTTGGAGGATGATCACTCCAAATGCATACACATCGCTCTTCTCTGTGAAACGGCCAGTGGTGATGTACTCAGGAGCCATATAGCCTAGGGCAGCGCTGACCTTGACAGCGGAGAAGACAACGTCATCAGCAAGGAGCTTGAGGAGACCAGAATCCGATATTAATGGATCAAACTTTTCGTCAATGAGGACTTTCTCTACGGAAATGTTTTGGTGAACCATCCCAAGTTTGCTTGCTTCACTTCTGTGCAAGTAACTAATGCCTGATTGCAAAAGAACAAAAAATGTTGATTTAATAGGCTATATGGAATTAACAATCATGAATTTGTAGAAAAACAGTACAATAAAAATCAGAAGGAACATCATGGAGCACATAAGTTTTTTTAAAAAAAAATGCAAATTACAGAGAACCACTTATTTATTATTATTATTTTTTAAATGTAGAACTGACCTTTTGCAATCCCATTTATGATAGAAACCCTAGTAGGCCAGTCAAGAACATGGCTGCTTCCATCTTGCACATCAAGATATTGCGATAGGTTTCCTTTAGAAGCAAAATCATAGATGAGAAAACATTCACCCCTGCCCTTCGAATAACAAAAACCTCTCAGCTTAACAAGGTTTTCGTGTTTCAGAGAGGTTAACAACCTTAATCCTTTCATGAACTCAACTTCTTCTGACTTACAACAGGTCACATTAATGCTCTTAACAGCTACAATGGATCCATCTTTCAGAATCCCTTTGTAGACGGCACAAAAATTGGATTTCCCCAATAAATTCACCTCTGAGAAGTACTGAGTTGCTGATTCAACGTCTTCCAAATTGAACTTAAATCCCGGGGGAAACTCCTGAGAAACCCCATTGCCATCATGGGTATCAGCCAACGGGTCCCATCCATTCCTATACTCGAGACATACCAATGGAGAGGCAGTTCTCATGCAAAACTCCTTGGCCTGATCAGCGGTGCTGAGCTGACCATCAGAAGTATCAAATGTGTTTCCGATCTTCTGTTTTCTCCTCCGGTATCGAATGAAAATCAGGAATCCACCAATTATCAACATGGCCGTGACTGTAATAGCCCCGACAACAATGGCAACTTGTGCTAATTTTGATGAACCTGAGCAATGGGTGTGGTTGCAGTGTGCCTGGAAACTAGCAGATAAAGGTACACTTTCTGGAGCAGTAGCATTTGATTTAGGTTTGAAGGGTTCAACTGGAATGCTCAGATCATCCCAAGGGAGGCAAACTCTCAATGATGAAAATCCAACACCACATAAACCTGGATTGTTCTTGCAATTGAATCCTTCATTCAATCTTTTCAAATCTTGAGATTTATCCCCCCACAAAAAAAAAATACAGTTAATACCGGTTTAGATTAGCCAGAATTGGAATTTAGATAAAAGTGCACACACACACAAGACAAGCAAAGGAAAGAAATTACACTTCGAATAGGCCATTTTGTATGAAAGAAAGAAGGAAGAAAACAACTTACCAGGAGGAACAATGCCAGAGAGAGTATTGTTTTCAACAGCTAAAACTTCCAAGTGTGGAATGTCAGCTAAACTTTCTGGAATTGGACCGGATAGCTGATTAAAACTCAAATAAAGTGTTTTTAGCATCCCCAAATTCCCTAAGCTCGTTGGAATTGAACCATCTAATCTATTATTTTGCAGAGAAAGAACACCTAACTTATTTAGTGACCCCATCTTTGTAGGTATGTGTCCAGTCAGCTGGTTACAACACAGATCCAAAACTAGCAAACAAAGAACAAATATCCATATAAGTTGAATTTAAAAAAGGAAGTGGAAAAGTGCAAAAACAAAAACAAAAACAAAACAAAACAAAAAAGAAAGAAAAGAAAAAGAAAAATTAGTGTATTAGTACTATCACAGCTTTTTCTCTGATATGTGGTCGCATGTCAAATTGGAGAAGCACCCAGATTCCACAATTGAAAGGCGATCCTAATTGGTTAATGCAGAAAACAAAAAACCCAAAAATCTGCCTTAAAAGTGGAATCAGATCCTAAATCATCCGTTCTTGCCTAATTTTAGTAATTTTCGGAACACAGTAACAAAGATAAAAGCTTGCTTCTATTTCATTCAGCCATTTTCAAACAAATCTATTTGCTCCAAACAAAGAAAAACTACAAATCTGCAAACAAAATTGAAGCTTCTTTCTAACAAATTCAGCAATTTATCTGATGATAACCCATATGATTAAATTGACGATGAGCAGAGAAATTTTACATCAATCCTAAGCAAGAAAGTGTAAAAAGAACCAATTTTGATACATATTTCAGCACATTCATATACTAACCTTGAAGACTTGCCATGTCTCCAATCTCAGGAGGTATTGTCCCATAGAGATCATTCTCATTGAGATAAAGATCAGTCAATTCAGTGAGATTAGCTATCTCTTTTGGTATCTCCCCAGTCAAAGAATTGTAATGCAAGTACAGACCAGACAAGCACTTCAACTCTGCCACCGCTGGAGAAACCTTCCCGGAGAGACCCTTTCCCGGCAAAGAAATGTTGGCCACTTTCCGGTGATCATTGCAAGCCACACCCACAAATGTGCCACTACATGGGTCGCCATCACTGGTCCAAGAAGACAAGCACTTGTTTTCTGGGTCGAGAAAGGACTTTATCTCCATGAGAGCTCTGAGCTCGGCATTTCCACAAACAGTTTCTACACCGGAAAGTGCAAGAAAAAGAAGAAAGGCAGAGACACAACAGTGAATACCCATTTTGGGTTTGGATCAAAACAGAATTTTCTCTTTCTTGCTAAAAAATTCTGAGATTCGCGCTGTTTCCCTACTCCAAAAGCGCTCCTTTCTTGTTGTTTAGCAGGCCAGAGATGAGCAGACTGTGTGTGTACGTGTCTGAGGAGAGAGAGAGAGAGAGAGAGAGAGTGTAGCATTTGTCAAAACAAAAGTGTAAAAGGTTTCGTTCAAAAAAAAAAAACAAGAGTAAAAGGTACTACGGGTGTTTGGTTTGTGTTTTAGGATAAATTTTAAAAAAAAATTTGGAGCAAGAGTAAAAAAATTTTTGATTTGTAATTTATAATAATGTCAAAATTAGTGTTGGTATGTTAGTTAGTATATTAATTGGTACATATAATATTATTCTTTAAAAATAATTTTGAAATTTAGGAGTTTGAGATTATTTGATATTTTATTGTAGTTGATTAGATATGTGTGAAAAAAAAGTGATTAATTGGTATGTAAGAAAGATAAAGTAATTTTGTAAATTTTTTTCAAAAAACATAAACCAAACGAATTTTTTTTTAAAAATAATCGAGTCAAATAAATTTTTCCTGACAAGATTTTGTAGTTGAGATACAACCAAAGAAGACTTTTGAGCTGCACTCTGTTACGTGACTCTGTTATATGAGATAGGAGTCGATGATTACCGCTGGGCAAGGGTTTAATTCGGGCGGGTTCAGTCGGATTGAGAGGTTGTTTAAACTCAGTCTAAGTTGTATAGAGACTTGTTTAAGCCTGTCCAAGTTTGAATTGTAACCCGAGGTTGTCTGTCCAAGCCCAATCCGAGCTAAACCCTAATTGCCCGAGTTGCCCGCATTGCCTGAATTGTAAATGAATTTTAGTTTTTATTTTTTATTTTTTATTTTTTTATTATAGAAAATCATTAATACCATCAAAAAAATAATTTATATAATGTAAGAGAGATGTTATTATAGTAGTCCTTACAATTTATGAGTGAATAAAAAGAAAAAAAGTAAAATTTTATATTATTTGTATATATAATATATATTCAATATGATTTAATAATATAAATTACTTTAATATCATGTAATGACTAATAATTTGTATTTTTATTTAATATTTTTCTATATCTATATATGTATAATTCGGACTTCGGGTTGCTCGGGTTGTTTGACATCTTTGCCTAAGCCTGCCCAAATTTAATTTGGGTTTCTGAATTTTTGTCCAAGCCCGTATCAAATTTAAAAATATTTTGTCCAAGCTCTAAAAAAATTCGGGCTGGACTAAGGTTAAGCCCGCCCAAGTTGCACCCCTATTTCTTTCTGAGTATTCTTAGGCATGAATTGAACATCCTAAATGAATTAAAGAGTTAGAAAGAAGCCTAAGAGAATTAAATAAGTTAAAGAACAATTCGGTTAAGCAATGTAATTCAATGTGTGTATGTTTATAAATTGTGTAGGATCATCCGCGAGGATGAATTAGCAACCAAATCACTATGAGTAATATCTTAGTGAAGATATTTTCTTTTTTTTTAAAATATTATAATTTTTAAGTGTATCTAGATTGCGTATGTCTAAAAAATATTTTTTAATAAAATATTAAAAAAATACTAAAAAAATAAAATAAATAAAGAACTCAATTTAAAAAAAAATAGTGCAAAACAAACAACAAATCATTTAGATTAATAATTATTAATTTGGAATGGACTAGGCTTCTCTTTAGTGAGAGAAACATGCTCAGTTATGTTGGTTCAAATGGTTTATTTTGTAAGATTTTGTAACAAATCATTTATGTCAAAAGTTAGGTTGATCCAACATTAATAACTACTTAATTGGATCTCATTTGTTTGAAGAAAGTAGACGGATTACCTTTCATAATCATACTATTTGTTAATTATTTTCAAAAAAAAAAATGTGATTTGTTCTTAATATCCAATTAATATAATTTAGTATCACTAGCATTACCCTTTGAAATATCACTATTGAAAAATTTAAAAATCCCCTAGATATTGATTTGTGATTATGTAACAATTTTAAGCAGTATATAACAATCCCAATCAAACAATCAAGACAAATCAACATAACGATTTTAACGTGGAAAAATCACAATTGGATACCTCCAACTGTGATTAAAAAATCACAAGCAACAGTCACAAAACAATCCACTAAGAAGATTTAAAGGAATTACACAGGTATACTCTCAATTACTTAACGAATCCACGCCTAATTGAACCAACCTCTATGTGTCTCTTCCAACCCCGTCTTCACCTCGGAATTGTCTTTACGATGAGCCACTCCAGAATCCACCGAAGTTTCAGGCTCGAATTCTTCAGAATCCACCGAAGAACAACTTTCTCTCTCATGTATAACAAACAAAACCTTTGATGTACTCTCTTTAAACCATAAGTTGAACACTCAATAAAACATCAAAGAAAACTAACAAAATATCCCCAAATATAAACCTTAAGAACTAAAAAGAAGATCTGGAGTACTTCAAGAGTAGTCTAGTTTTGGGAGAAAACCAACTACTTATAGAAAACCAAAAGTAATCTTAGATTTGGAAGAAAACCCAATCCTTATTGAAATCCAGAAAACTGTGTTCGCGCAGTCCGCTCGAGCGCCTTCAGCAAAATATGCGTGTAACAAAACAGAGGTCCGCTCGAGCGCTTGAGAACCCGCTCGAGCGCGAAATCACACCTTCTAGTATTTTTACAGACCTGACAAACTTCTGAAACCCAGCATTCTCTGCTTGAGCGGACAAGCAACTTGGAATGCATTTTTGCATTTTGCTTCGAGGGTGCTGCCCCTCGACCTCGCCGTGACGCTGCCCCGGACCCGCCAAGGGGCGCTGTCTCCTAGACCCCCGCGAGCTGACCGGGTAGCTTGATCCCCGACATAATCAGCGAAGTGACAATTTTGAAAGCATTAGCATCACAAACTTCTCTGAAAGGCACAATTCGGGTTGGATTCGCATCTAAACACTCATAGCCTCACTGAAATAAAAATGTGAAAATAAATACAACTGAAAAGAGTTTTGTCAAACGAGATTGCCAAGAATAAAACCTACCAATCTCCCCCTTTGGCAATGCCGTGACAAAACACACCTAACAAATAAAATTCTAAACACCCCAACCCATTATAGCCAACAAAAGCCAACTTCTTTCTCAAGGTCATGATCTGCAAAACAGTTATTAGTGCCACAATCTTCAAAACAACTATTAGTCCCACAAGAGTATATGAAAAAGTAATAGACATATGACACGATTAACTTGAAACATGAGATGGAAAACTTGAATAGATGAAAACTAAGACTCCTGAAAAACAACTCTCAATCAACAAAAACAAGATCATAAACCAACCCAAGCAATGATATGACGATGTAAATACCAGGAACATGCAAGAAAGAAATAATTAGCAAACAGTGCATAGCAACATGCAAAAACATATAGCCAATCTCCCTTACCAAACAAATCAAAGTGTTCATGCTAACAAACTCTTGCAATGAAAAACCAAACTCCCTTACCAACCCAAATCAAGATGAACCAAACTCCCCCTCAATAAAAGCAACCACAGACATTGAAAATAGTGAACAAGAAAGCAAACGACAAAAATAATACGGTGGAGCAAGCAGGAAATCTTAAATTTGTACCTTAAAACACACAAGATTATCCAAGAAGCACAATTACTAGAAAACACAATGTGCACAGTCTGTAGAAGATTCCTCATGAAAGAAAGTGATGCATTACGTGAAAAGCATAGATCCCATGAGAATAGTGTGTGTGTGACTCTTGGAGTTCGACAAACACTAGATTCAATCCTAGTAGTGATCTGAAAGCTGGACCTCCGACAAGAGAATCTAAGCACAATAAAAGAAAGTCAAACCATTAGGAATCAAGGGGTATTTGGTGAGTAAAAGCGGAGGCTCCCCTTCAATCAATGAATCTTTTTTTCTTTCTTTCTTTTGCATATTTTTTCTTCTTCTCTTTCTTTTTTTTTTTCTTTTTCTTTTGCACAATCATTGGTGGCTGACACGCTCAAGAGTATGGAAATCGAACCAGAGAAGCATGGATATAATAAGGATGGCCTGGTTGGTGACTCTGAGGTAGCCTTTTCCTCATGGCTACACTGCAAAGAGTTGAGGGGAAAGCCGTGGAGGTGCAAAAAGATGGAAGATGGTTAAGAGACTCAACATCACCCATGATATGCTAGTATGGGTCAATTCCTCTAGAAAAGCAAAAAATCAATGACAGAAGTCCATAGAGAAAAAATAATCACTAAGGCAGAAGACTCCAAAAATTTGCTAATCCAAGAGTGTGTACAGAATGAGACATACTATTCAAAAAACACACACTCCAAAATGAGTAATGACCACAGAAAGCACACACACATCGACATGTAATGGATATTCTCATCAATTCCAATATGCACTAAGGACCACTCAAAAATTTCAAGCTTGCAAAACCATACTAAGAAAATCTTTTTGGGATTTTTTTTTTAAACAAAGCAAGACATAAAATGAGCATGCACGCACTAAATGACTCAAAAAAAAAAAAACAAACAAACAAACAAACACAAACCCAAAAACTAAAATGAATAACCAAATTAATACAAGTCAAGTTTTCTCACCCAAATCTTTTTGATCTTAACAAAATTAGGTCTAGCTGTCTTGGTAAATGTTGTGGCATTGTGAACACCCTCATGAATCTTGGTATTCTGCCTGGGCATGTAAGGTTGTTTCCTAACCCAAAAAGTATTCGAATTTCTACCATTTTGAGACACTCTCCCATGCAACTTATAACAGTAAGGGCGAATATGACCATGCATACCACAATGATGACAAATAAAAACAGGGTGTCCAGGATGTACCTTCTTTTCTTTTACCTTACCAACTCTAGGAAGTTTAAGAAATCCATCCTTATGTTGAAATTTTTGTTCCTCCTTTCCTTGAGTTCTTGTATCATAAGATGTGGAAGCACTCTGTTTTTGCTCTTTCTTATCACCAAAGCCAATGCCACTCTTGTCACAACTCATTTGTTGAGACGCAATGATATCCTCCAAAGTCTTTGATCCTTTGTTCCAAAGACCAATGGTAGCCATAGCACACTTGAGCTCTTCCTCTTTCTTAATCAATAGTTCTTCCAAAGCAACTTGTGACATCTTGAGAGATTCAATCTTTTCTTCATCCATGGCATGGGCTTCCAGTAGCTCATTCCTCT